CATTGTATGGGTCGAGATGACACCGCGAGTCTTTCGCTTGGACGGCGGCTCAAGACACACCTAAACTACCTCGCCAGAGTTTCTCGAAGCGATGGCTGCGCTGGCCGAGTTTGGCGAGGAGAAGTTGCGTGTAGCAAGATTGGTGCGTGGGTTCTGTCTTCGGAGTGGTTGGATCGACAGAAGACTACACCGCTCACGCGGTCTCTATTCTCGTTGATTATGTAAACGCAACTGTCTGTGTACGCGCTCACGCTTCGTGCGGCGCCCGCAGTTTGCTCGCGACAGTAGCGACGCGCTGCCCGAGTCCATGGGCTTTCAAGAAAAAGTACGCGGGAATGTGGTTGTCGTGGCGATAGCAGATCGACGGCCACGCACCAGGTTGATTGCTGCTGTTGTTGGTGCCGAGGTGAAAGGGTCCTTCGCCCATGATGGCCGAGGCGCCAAACGCGCTACGCATATATCAAGTTAGGTCCTATGAGGACACTCCAGTAGGTATACAGTACCTTGTCCACGCATCGCCACCGACGACAACGAATTTAAAGATCATGAGCGAGTGGAGGAGGTTGAGCAGCACGAGCTCCTCGCCCGAGCTCATACCGCCGGCCAATGCAAAGGCGCCGGCGACCTTGGCGCTCAGGTCGTGTGTGGCCGGCCATGTGTTGATCCACGCCATGAGCTCGGGGTCCACGTTGGCGTTGTAGACGTTGCTCCCGAGGATCACAGCGTCGGCCCAGAGCACGTCCGAGATGGACGCGTTGGCCGGGTGCAGTACTTTGATGGCTGTCGTGACGCTGGCAGCGCCACGCGCCACCTCCTGGCCAAACTGGGCGAGCCAGTCGTCGCCCGCGTGCACAATCAAGACGCGAGTCCCATTGGCCAGCCCTCCAAAGTCGCGGTTGAGGCTCGTGCGCGACGCCAGCGCTGCTACTGGCGACGCCACTGTGTGCAGCGAGGAGGTCGGGACTGTCGCCAGTCGGAGCTCGTGCAGGATCGTCTGCGCTTCAGTGACGAGGTACACGACACATAGGAGGGTCGTGATGCAGATAGCGAGGGTCGCAGCCACAAGCGACCGCGTGCTGGCCTTCCGCGCGCTGCTCGGACGAGCGTCGTCGGCTTGGATGGCGCCGTACATATTGCGACTTGCGATCTGCCATCTCGCGTGTGATTGGCCAAAATGAAGATTTTGCATCAGGGCAAGGGCAGGTGTAGGGGACTTCCGACGTTGACGTTCCTGTGTCAAAAGTTATTACACTAGGGTTTCAGGTTGCTCGTTTCGATTATATATACACACTTCTTTATTCTTATTATATAAGAGCGCAACATATAGTCGTACATCGGTCATAGGACAAAAGGGCGGTCTTCAGGATCCTTGTTACGGGGCCATGTTGACGTCGGGGTTGTCGATCTCAAACGTGAGCGCGCCATCGGTGGCCGACAAGGTCACGTGGCCCTTGGCACGCAGGGAACCGTCCAAGAGCTGCCGACTCAGTGCCGTCACCACGTGCTTTTCAATGTAGCGCTTGAGCGGGCGGGCGCCGTACTGCGGGTCGTACGCCGCATCCAAGATGGCGTCGAGCGCGGCCGTCGTCACGTCCATCGACACTTGGTGCGCGTCCTGGAGCCGGGTCTCGGCTGAGCGCAGTTGCAGCTGGACAATGTCGCGCAGCTGAATTTTGCCCAGCGGCTCAAACACAATGACGTCGTCGAGGCGGTTGAGCAGTTCGGGACGCAGGTACCGGCGCAAGTCGGCCAACACACGGTCCTTTTGTGCATCGAGCGACAACACGGCAGCCGTGTCAAGGCGCGGGCGCTTGGACGGGCTCTGGATCGGCGATGGCAGGAGGTGCTCGGCGCCGACGTTCGAGGTGAGGACGACGACAACGTTGGTAAAGTCGACCGTGCGCCCGTGCGAGTCGGTGAGGCGGCCGTCGTCCAGAAGCTGCAAGAGCACGTTGAGGACCTTAGGGTGCGCCTTCTCAATCTCGTCCAAGAGCACAACGTTGTACGGGTTGCGCCGGACGGGTTCCGTGAGCTGGCCGCCCTGGTCGTCGTAGCCCACATAGCCGGGCGGCGCGCCGAGCAGCTTCGAGACCGAGTGCTCTTCCATAAACTCCGACATGTCGATGCGCACCATGTGCTTCTCCGAATCAAAGAGCTGGAGCGCGAGTGCCTTGGCGAGCTCCGTCTTGCCGACGCCCGTGGGCCCGAGAAAGAGAAACGAGCCTGTCGGTTGGTCCTGGCGCGCCAGGCCCGCGCGCGACCGCAGCACGGCATCGCAGACCGCCTGGACAGCAGCGTCTTGGCCAATCACGCGCTCGTGGAGCCGCGCGCCGAGGTGCAAAAGGCGGTCACTCGTGCTTGTTGTGAGCTTGTCGAGCGGGATGCCGGTCCAGCGCGACACGACCTGCGCAATCTGGGCTTCGCGAACAACCTCCTCCACGAGCTTGTTGCTGCTGAACGCCGGGTCGGCGTCCTGCGCGGCCTTCTCCGCTTCGAGGCGCTGGATCGACTTGTGCACGTCGGGAATCGCATAGTATTTGAGGTCGGCCACTTGCGCGAGGTCCTGTCGGCGCTCGGCCTGGGCGACCTTGAGCTCGAGCTGCGCGAGCTTGTCCTTGAGGCGACGAATCTCCTCGACCTTGGCCTTCTCGGCTTGGTGCTGCAGTTTGAGTGGGTGCAGCTCGTCATGGACGGCCGCCAGCTCTTGGCGCACGAGCTTGAGACGATCTGTCGAGCGCGTGTCCTTCTCCTTGGCGAGCGCAGTCGCCTCAATCTGCAGCTGGAGCTGTTTGCGCTCGAGCGCATCAATGATTTCGGGCTGCGAGTCGAGCTGGACGCGCACGTTGGCGCACGCTTCGTCGATGCAGTCGATGGCCTTGTCGGGCATGAAGCGCTGGGTAATGTACCGGTCGGCGAGCGTGGCCGCGGCGACGAGCGCGCCGTCCGTGATGCGCACGCCGTGGTGCGACTCGTAGCGCGCCTTGAGGCCACGGAGGATGCTGACCGTCTCGGGCACAGACGGCTCGGTGACGAGCACCTGCTGGAAGCGCCGCTCAAACGCCTTGTCCTTCTCGACGTACTTGCGGTACTCTTCCAACGTCGTAGCACCAATGCAGCGCAGCTCGCCGCGCGCGAGCATTGGCTTGAGCATATTGGCCGCATCCATGGCGCCGCTGGTCGCACCGGCGCCCAAAATCAAGTGCATCTCGTCGATGAACAAAATGACCTTGCCGTCGCTCGCCTGCACTTCCTGGAGCACGGCTTTGAGCCGCTCTTCAAACTCGCCGCGGTACTTGGCCCCGGCGACGAGCGCGCCCATGTCGAGCGAGTGAATCTGGCACGACGCCAGGAGGTCGGGGACATCGCCGCTCACGATGCGGTGGGCGAGGCCTTCGACGATCGCCGTCTTGCCGACGCCGGGTTCGCCAATGAGCACCGGGTTGTTCTTGGTGCGTCGGCAAAGAATGCGCACGGCGCGGCGAATCTCCTCGTCGCGGCCAATCACAGGGTCGATCTTGCCCGCGGCCGCCAGCGCCACGAGATTCTGCCCGTACTTGGCGAGCGCCTCGTAGTTGCCCTCGGCCGTGTTGCTCGTGACGGGCCGGCCGCCGCGAATGCCGTCGTTGATCGTGCCGACTTGACTCTGGCTCAAATTGTGACGCTGGAAAAGCGCTGCGACCGCCGGGCACGTAAAGAGCGCGAGCAAGAGATGGTCGACCGCCATGTGCGTGTCGCCCTTGTCCTTGCGCTGCTTGACGGCGGCCTTGAGAACCTTGGTCAGTGCCGAGCCGATGCTAATGTGATCAGGCGCCGGCGACTGTGTCGGGAGCTTCTGAAGATGCGTCGTGATATCGTTGAGGATCGCGGTGGCGTCGGCCTGCGCCTTCTCGGCCACGCGCCGGGCAAAGCTCTCGCTGTCGTTGAAGAGAGCGTACGCGACGTGCATCGGCGTGACTTGGGCGTGGCCATGCTCTTCCGCATACGCCTCGGCGTCCTTGAGGTACGCGTTGGTCTTGTCGGTGAATTCGGTCGGGTTGAGGCTCATGTGCTCGAGTGAGATGAAAACCGGAAATGCCCGATCTTCCCGTTGCCCTTGCGTCGAGTTGCCAGACAATTCCAGAACGTCGAGAAAGTGCGATCGTACTTGCGAGAGTCTATCTAAAAACAATATATAAATTTGGACAAGCGCACTTTATCGGGCGCAACGGTTTCACCGTTGAGTGCGCTTGTCTGTGGCGCCGCCACGTTTTTGCAAACTCGAAGGCGGATCCTCATAGCAATCGTCTGTGATCCAATTCTGTCAAATGTGATGTACGGGACGACTGATGCGATTATGAAGTGGTCTATCTGGTGACCCGTCAGATTTGAAGACCATTCCAGATCAATCAGGTTAGACATGCCTGGGTCCATGCTGCGATAAATGCGCTGTGAAACGTGCGAAGATTGTATATTACTCGCCGTGGTAGGTGTCGATATATGCTTCCAAGTTGGCCTTCTTGACGACGAGGGACCCTTCGTTCTGGGCGGGCGAGAACGCAATCAGTCGAAAGTGTTTGCGGAGCATCGTGATGATCTTGGGCTTGAGCACCGGCTTCATGTACTCGCGACTGCCCCGGCCCTTGCCCGTGATGATCTTGAGGTCTTGGAGCTCTAAGGAATCGCGTCAATCTTGGCAACCCACTATGGGTCATTTACCTGTCTTGAGAACGCTCTTGGGCTGCTCGGCAATCGCAAGCAGCGCAAATTCGACGGCGGCCTTGGCCGAGCCGCGCGAAAAGCTATGCAAGTTCATCGCGTACAGGCCCTTGCGCCACTCGCCGAGCATGTTTTCGTCCATGGCGCGCTCAAACACCACGTGGCTTGCGTCGCGCTCGCGCAGCTCCTCGAGCGCATCAATGACTGTGTGCACAAAGTCGGATTTCTCGAGCGGCGTCGTCTCCAGCGTACGAACAATCGCCGGGATGAGCTTGCGCTGCTTGGGCGACGTCTTGATCGCACGCAAGACGAGCGCGAGCGTCAATATCGACGGGGCAATGTCGCGGGCGAGCATGTCCTTGTAGAGCTTGAAGATCACAAACGACTTGTCCGTGTTGAGGAACCCGAGCATGCACGTGGTGTACGGGAACGCATCGGGCGCCAAGGCTCCTTCCATCTCTTTGAGGCGCGCAAGGCAGTAGTCCAACTGCCCCGAGAGCATCTTGGCGCGAATGAGCGCATTGTAAAAGTTGACGTCGGTGCTCGTTTGCATCCATTCGCTGGGCTTGGTGGCTGCAATCTATCACCACTCTATTAGTGTTCACGGTGGCCGATGAAGTAGGAAAGTACCTGGTCGAGGACGCGGTCGACAGCCTCGTGTTCCCCGAGGGCGCTCAGGGTCTTGAAGAGCACCGTGTACGTCGCAACATCGAGAACATCGCCGCGGAGACGCAGCACTTGGTCAGTCACGTCCACGAGCTTTTCGTTCTGGCGGCCGCTCGCGAGCGCCAAAAAGAGCATGCGGTAGCCACGGAGCGAGATCGGAAGGCCAAAGCCCTGCATGTGGTGGAGGACCGTGAGCGTGAGCTTCCAGTCGTTCTTGTTCTTGAGTGCTTGGATGATGGGCTTGTACACGAGGCCGTTCAAGGCGCGACGCGTGGCCTCGTCGTCGGTGGTCGCCGCCAGTGCCTCCGATGCCTGCGTCTGCAGCGTCTGCAGCGCATCGTGACCCTTGCCGTTCTCGATGAGCGCAATGCACATGAGCGCCTTGGACTCGAGCGTGGCATGTGCACCAGCTGTGGAATTCGGTGCCTCCGTGGTCGTTGTTGCGGCCGCGTTGAGCTCCTTGAGCCCGATCTGCTGCATCGTGTGCAGGACTTTCTTGGCTTCGCGATGGCGGCCGTGGGCGGCGCAGACGCGCAGCACCAAGTTGGCGTGGTACGGCTCGACGGCCTGCGGAAAGCTCGCGACAAAGTGCTGGAACGTGCCCAACGCAGTCTTCCAGTCGCCGTCCTTGGACGCATGCTTGAGCTTCTCGACGATGATCTTAGTCGGCGCATCTACGCTGCCGCTGCAGAAGCGGCCGAGCGCGAGGCGCTTCCACTAGATTGCATGGCATGAGCTGCGAGGACGAGGTCATGCGGCGGCGCTGTACCTGGTTGCTCTTCGCCAGCGTTGCCAGCATCGCCAATCGATCTTTTGCGCTCGCGATGTCTCCAAATAGTGTATGTTACGAACCTACGTAAATAGCGTATGTACCCTTGATAATAGATCGATCACTGACATTTTTTGTGAGAGGTATGTGTTTGATTGGCCCATTGCAAGCGCTCCTCGGGATATCACCATCGTCGACGTCTCCATGCTGCGACGCGTAGTGTCGACCGCGGCCCGGCGCCGGAGCCTCGCCAGCGCGCTGAGCATCCATGGCGGCGCCACCGCCCACGTCCGCGCGTCCTTGGCCTCTCTGCATCTGCGCTCGCTGCACACGAGCCTGCCGCTGCTGCGCAGCGATACGGGTACGGTCGAGGATTTGTACCAGAAGAAGACGCCGCTCGAGCACGTCCTGCTTCGGCCGGGCATGTACATCGGGTCTGTCGAGAGCACGAAGGAGACCATGTGGATCTGGAGCGACTCGGAGCGCCGCATGGTCCAGCGGTCGCTCGAGTTTGTACCTGCTCTGTACAAGATCTTTGACGAAATCCTGGTCAACGCCGTCGACAACAAGGTCCGCGACAGCGCCATGTCGCGCCTGGAAGTGAGTGTGCTTCCTGGGTCGGCGGCCAACTGCCACAAAGCGACGATCTCGGTCTTCAACGACGGCAAGGGCATTCCGATCCAGTTCCACAAGCAAGAAAACGTCTATGTGCCCGAGCTCGTCTTGGGCCACCTCTTGACCGGCTCGAATTTTGACGACGCGTCTGCGCGCCTCACGGGCGGTCGCCATGGGTACGGTGCGAAGCTCACCAACATCTTTAGCTCCGAGTTTGTCGTCGAGACGGGCGACGCCAAGAGCGGCCAGCGCTACACGCAGACGTGGCGCAACAACATGCGCGAGCGTGGCGAGCCGATCATCGCGCCCTACGACGGCGACGACTTTACGCGCATTACGTTTACACCGGACCTCGCCAAGTTTGAAATGGCCAAGCTCACGAGCAGCATGACGCGCGTGCTCCGGAAGCGGGTTTTTGACGTCGCGGGCTGCCTCCCCAACGTCATCGTCAAGTGGAACGACGAAGAAGTGCCGCTCGTCGGCTTTGAGTCGTACGTGCAAGCGTTCGAAGGCGCGACGACCAAAGAGGCCGAACTCGCCTTGTACAGCCGCGCCAACAAGCGCTGGGAGATTGGTGTCCTTCCGTCCGACGTGGGCTTTGTCCAAGTGAGCTTTGTGAACGGCATGACGACGCACCGCGGCGGCACGCACATCAACTACATCCTCGAGCAGCTCTGCAAGCGCATCGCTGACCACATCAACAGCAAGCAGAAAGACATGACTGTGACGGCGACGCAGATCAAGCCGCACATTGCGCTCTTTGTAAACGCGCTCATCGAGAACCCGACGTTCGACTCGCAAATGAAAGAGAATCTGACGTCGCGTCCGTCGACGTATGGCTCGACGTGCGTCCTCTCGGAGCGCTTCATCAAGAGCGTCCTCAACAACTCGGGGATTGTCGAGCGCGTGGTTGCGGCGATGAAGACCAAGCAGCGCTCAGCACTCAATAAGAAGGTCGCGAAAAAGACGATTCTGGTCCCGAAGCTCGAAGATGCCAACTGGGCGGGGAGTCCGCGCGCGTCCGAGTGCACGCTCATTCTGACCGAAGGCGACTCGGCAAAGGCGCTCGCGGTCGCCGGTCTCGCGGTCGTCGGCCGGGATACGTACGGTGTCTTTCCGCTGCGCGGCAAGTTTCTCAACGTACGGGACGCGTCCGACTCGCAGCTGAGCAAGAACGCCGAGTTTAGCCACCTCTGCACGATCCTTGGGCTCAAGCTCGGCTCCAAGTACGAGACACCGGAAGAGAAGGCGACACTCCGGTAAGACGCCATCTGCCAAGTGTGTACTCATGTCGTGCAGCTACGGCCGCGTGCTCATCATGACGGACCAGGACCACGACGGGTCGCACATCAAGGGCTTGCTCTTGAACCTCTTCCACACCTTCTGGCCGCAGCTGCTCCAAGACAACTTTGTGAGCACGTTCCTGACGCCGCTCATGAAGGCGCAGACGAAACAGACGGTCTTGCCCTTCTTCTCCGTGCCAGAGTACGAGCAGTGGAAGGCGTCGAATCCCGATTTGTCGCACTCGGTCAAGTACTACAAGGGTCTCGGGACCAGCACGAGCGCAGAGGGGAAAGAGTACTTTGAAGAGCTCAACGAGCACACGGTCGACTTTCGTTGGACGTCCGATGACGACGGCGACGCGATTGCGATGGTCTTTAGCAAGGACCGCGTCGCGGAGCGCAAGGCGTGGCTCTCGAATCTCGCGCCGTCGACGCTCCACGAGCGCACGCCGACCATGCGCCTCCACGACTTTGTGCACTCGGAGCTCATCCAGTTCTCGCATGCGGACAACGCGCGGTCGATTCCGAGTGCGATCGACGGCCTCAAGCCCTCCCAGCGCAAAGTGCTCTACGCGTGCTTCAAGCGCAAGCTCACAAAGGAAGTCAAAGTCGCACAGCTCGCGGGGTACTGCGCCGAGCACACGGCGTACCACCACGGCGAAGCGTCGTTGCATAGCACGATCGTCAACATGGCGCAGGACTATGTCGGCGCCAACAACATTCCGCTTTTGTATCCGTCCGGCCAGTTTGGCACGCGCCTCCAAGGCGGCAAGGACGCGGCGTCGCCACGTTACATTTTCACCTACCTGCACCAGTACACGCGGCTCCTCTTCCCGGAGGCGGACGAGCCGCTCCTGGAATATGTGATCGACGACGGCGATCCGGTCGAGCCGACGTACTATGTGCCAATTCTACCGCTGCTGCTTGTGAACGGCAGCGAAGGCATTGGTACGGGGTGGTCCACGAGCATTCCAAGCCACCACCCGATCCAGCTCATTGACCGGCTCCTCGCGCGCATCGACGGCGACGCGTCATGCGATGCGCTCGCGCCGTGGGTCAAGGGGTTCCAAGGCAAAATTGCCCCGAACGGCCTCAACTACCTCTCGACGGGCGACCTTGAGATTTTGAAGAAGACGCCCCGAACGGTCGCCGTCCGCGTCTCCGAGTTGCCCGTCGGCAAGTGGGTCGAAGACTACAAGAATTTCCTGCACAACCTCATTGCGACCAAGAAGGTGCGCGTGTTCACCGAGCACCACACGGACAAGACGGTGTGCTTTGAGCTCGTGGTACGACACGATTTCTCAGTTTCGTTGTCGGACTAAACCATTTGTAGATTGAGAAGGACGGCGCCGATGCAATGGACGACGCGACGCTGCGCAAACTGCTCAAGCTCGAATCCAACATCAACACGACCAACATGCACGCGTTCAACGCCGACGGGAAGCTCGTCAAGTTTGATTCGAGCGCCGAGATCCTCGACGCCTTCTTCAACGTGCGCCTCGACCTCTACGCGCGCCGCAAGACGTACTACGAAGACCGTCTTGGCCGCGAGTGCGCCAAGCTCGAGAACCGCGTTCGGTTCCTCCAGGAAATGGCCTCGGATGCCAGCCCGCTCCGGTCGCTCTGGACGTCCCGCCCTTCCAAGGCCGACGCGGTAGGCACAACGAGATCGTTCTATTGTTGTGGCGCTCATTATGTTGCTGTAGATGGCCGCGCTTCGGGCTGCTGGGTTTGCTCCGGCGAGCGCGTTTGAAGTGGATGGCGGCAGTGACGCCAACGACAAGGACGCGTATGACTACCTCCTCCAGACATCGTTTCTTCAGTGCACGCTCGAGCACGCGGAGAAGCTGACGCGCGAGTTTGGCGCCAAGCAAGCGACCTTGGAGCAGCTGCGCGAGACGTCGCCGAAGGCACTTTGGAAAGCGGAGCTTCATGCTCTCCGTGAAGCGCTCCTCGAAGACGCCGAATACCACGATGCGATCGAGGCGTGAGCGAGATGTACATTGAAAGTGCAATATGAAGAAACAGTCTTGGCCTAGTCATTGGTGTTCGAGTCTGCCTCCAGAGCTGCTCTAGACAGCGCTAGCGGAGTGACCAATTCAAACGATAGATTGTGACTTGATGCACACTAGCACTGGTACGGCGAAGCTTGGGTTTGCACCTGCGACTCGCAGCACATCACGGTGGAGTCGCTCGGTTTCAAAATTCCTCTTCCTGCACGGTGCTATTTGAACGAGGTTGACTTGAGACGACCCACTTCAACAACAACGAGGTTGACTTGCGGAAGAAATGCGACGCCGTTGAAACGTCCGACCTTGCTGAAGCGTCGCCTTGGCGCGGGAAGTGTCGGTCCTACAACATAGTAGAGTAGCGCGTCAGTCCGACGAGAAGGTCGAAGTGCTGGAGACGAGACGTGCATCTCGCGAACTCCCGATCTTTATCCGTACATATCCGGATAATGAGGCGACCGAGAATAGACCGCAGTGTGCAATTCGAACCGCGCTGTCGCCATGGGTCCGTCCGTTGGCCACGTCATGGCGCCTGCGTCGACCTCGGCCTTCGCTCCGTGCAGCCTCTCGGCGCTCGCCTTGGCGCCGCTGCAAGCCTCATGCGCGGAGCGGTGCCTCAAGCACGACACGGACGTCTACTGTAGCAGCGAACGCCTTGCAAGCCTCAAGGCCTTTAGCCTCCATCAGCCCGGCGACGCCGAGTACTCGGAGTACATTGCCGCGCAGCTGCGGCCAACGACGCTGACGAACCTCAACAAGAAGGTTGTGTACCTCATCGATGTGCACCTCGGCAAAGTCCACTGGCTCGTCCACACGCGCTACTCGGCGCTGCGAAAGCTGCGCTGCACGCTCATCAAGCGCCTCTCCAAGCGTGCCGACTTCTGCCGCATTTGTTACGCGTCGCTCAAGGGTCTGCAGGCGACGGCGTTTCCGCCCAAGGCGCGCCTCTTTGCGGCGCCCATCGACATGGCCCGGCGACAACTCCTGCTTGCGACCTTTGTGCAAACGCTTGTACGCCTGCTCCAAGTGCTTCGACAGCACTCGATCCTCATGCAGTCCCGCGTCGGCTGCGACGTGACGTTCATGCTGCGGCTCCTTGAAGAATTTGTCGGCCTCGACTTCAGTCGGTACACGAGCTTCCTCGCCGACCGTGGCGTACTGCACCCGGAAGAGACAGTCCACTGCCGCTGACACAAAAGAAGTTTAAGTATCAACACGACGCGTCTTATTTAGCCATGTCGGCCACGGGCCGCGTCGTGACGAACGACGCGTCACGCTCAAAGACCTGCTGCAGCATTGTCACATCATCGACACTGCCGTAGAAGCCGTGGTAGACGAGCTTCTCAAAGAGGTCCCGGTGCACGACACGGAGGGCGGGGACCGAATGCACGTCAAATGGCTGTTTGAACTCGTTGTTTGGGTCCTTCCACGCCGTGTAGTCGGCCGAAACTTCGACCTTGATCAAGACCGCGTTTGACGCGGCAAACTTGTGGTAGGCATACTCGAACGCCGTCTCCCGGAACCGACAGTACGGGCACCACGGCCGGTCGTTTGTCGGCAGCCGCCCTGACACAAAGAGTAGATACAGCGGGAAATCGTCGTCAAAATCGCGCAGGAATTTCTTGAGCGGCGTATACTCGCTGTAGACGCGGATGTCCTTCTTGGTGACGCCTGGCGCAGTCTCGCCATGGAAGGCATAGTCGAGGAGCTCAGGGTTCGTCATCGCCGCTTGGTAGAGACCCGCGGTCGTCTTGCCGTGGCCATTCGGCAGCGGCGTGTACTGGAAGAGCGTCGGGAGCTCCAACAAGCGCAAATCATCGTCAAAACGGTACATGGACTGAAACTCAGAGTCGGTTTGCACGACGACCGTGAGAAGGCGAGCCGACGGCGGCGCGCGGGCAAACGCCGCAGCCACGGGTGCCTCGGCGTCGTTGCAGCCACCTTGCCACGTAGTGTTGGTCCCAGGGTCACGCGCGCAGGTGAAGAAGACAAAGAGCGGGTCGGACGAGTTGTACGTCTTGAGAAACCGCTTGGACTCGTAGAACGACGTGACAGTCGCTTGACGAGAGGCAGAGTCGTTGACGCGGCTGTGCAGCGCGAGCCGCTCCGGCGTCAGCGTCGTGGCAACGTTCGAGTTGTCGACAACGACGGGGGCGGCGACGCGCACAGGCTCAGTCTCGGAGCTGACGGAAACGACGTCGGGCATCTCACCAGACGCTTTCTTGATCGGTAACGCATCCACGTCCGTGTTGCCGTGGACCACTGGCGCCGGAATCGCGTTGACGGGAGATGTCGTCTCTGCAGCCGACGGAACGTTCGTGAGGTCAGCCAGTGAAGTTGTCGGTGCAGACGTCGTTGTCGGCCAAGGCGTCGTCGTTGCAGGAGCCGTGGTTGGCGCAACGGTTGTCGTCGGGGCTGCAGTCGTTGGCTGCATCGTCACGCGGGGCTTGGGCGTCGCGGGCGCAGAAGTGGGTACGTGCTCGCGGCTCTCGTGTTGCACGAGCGGCGCGGGCGTGGTTTCTTGCTTGCGCAGTGACGCCCGGGCATCGGCCGATGTCGTGACCGAGGCGACGCTTGACGAGAGGCTCATCATCGAGAAGAGGAGAACGCAGACAATGCACCCGATAAAGACGTTCATGACGCTCATTTTCATGCTGCAGACGACGTCGTTCCGGCCGCGGTGGTGCCCACGCGGTGCCATGCCTCCTCCTTGCCTTCGAACACGTAATGGCAGAGCAACCCACTCACCACGCGGCTCATATCCGGAAAAAGCAGCGCACTACATCCGGATGCCAATCACATGCGCGATCTATGCGCTCGATAGTGATCTACTCTCAATTGATAACCATGCTTGATGTACTCGAGTCCAAGTCACAGCTGTCCTGATGATGGCGTCACATTTGGCATCAGGAATCAACGTTAGCCCTCCAAAGTCAGCCGTATTAACCGGTTGGTGCCGGGTTCTGCTGAAAGTACGCGCGGAGCTGGTCCCGATCTTCGAAGTACTCGACGTATTCGATGAGCTCCGGCAGGCCCGCACCACTCAACGAGAGACGCGTGAGCATCGGGAGGCCCGTGAGCTTCACTGCCGCCTGCGTCCGGAACGGGTTGGCCAAGTCGTGCCACTTGTCGACCGTCTTGGCGACAACAATGCGCAAAAGCGTCGCGTTCGGCGCCGCGTACGCTCGGAAGTAACTCAAGATCGGGACGTCGGCGCGGTCGCAATGCGGACACCAGAGCCGCCCGGTGCTTACGTACCGTCCCGACACATAGTAGAGAAAGATCGGCGCGCCGTCGAACGCATTGAGGGCGGCCTTCATCTCGTCGACCGTCGTCACATCGACGACGCGGGGCGATGTGGCAGCCGTATGCGGCGTCGCAAAGACGCTTGCGAGGAGCAGCGGGTCCGAAACAAACGCTTCGGCCAGCAGCAGTGTCGTGACCATGCGGGCATTGTACTGGAGCAACGTCGGGAGTTCGCGGATCTCAAGCTGCGTGTCGGGCCGCAAAGTAAACTTGCTTGTCTCCCACCCTTCTTCCGTCACTTGCACCAAGAGGAGGCGTGCGGACGGTGGCGCGTTGGCAAAGGCGGTGGCAACAGGCTGACGCGCGGCGTCGCAGAGCTCACACCAATCTGGCGCGGTGCCGTTCCGGAGGCTCGTGACGAGGACGTAGAGCGGACCGTCGTTGAGTCGAACTGTGTTCAAGTAGGCTTCGGCCGCGTTGAGGCCTTCGACGCGAATGATGTTGTGTGAAGCATCGCCACTGCGCACGCGCTTGACAAAGACGGCGTGGGCAACGCGCGGCGGCCGCGCGAGGCTTCCAGCGAGCCGCCCCACAAACGCGAGGCTCACGACCAAGAGCCCGAGAAGAAAGAGCATGAGCAGCTGCACGCAGGTCCATCGAGGCTTCATATTTGGATTTGCCAACGTCCTTGCACGCTGCGTCACGTTCCAACTTCGAAGCTTTTGCGCCATTTTTCGACGGCATCGAACGAGTTTAAGGAGCTCCCATTCGAGATGACTTGCGATGTGCTACTCCAAATCTGAGTGCGGTCTCGTCGCCGTTGAGCACTATACGTATTCACTCGGAGGTAGGAATTAGATGCTGGTGGTGTCAGCTGCTACTAGTATATATCTCTCGGGTCATGGCTCCTCGAAGAACCGGACGAGACGCGTCCGGTCTTCGAAGAATTGCGAGTACTCGTTGAAAGACGTAGCGTCAGGCAGGACGCGGATGAGCATCGGGAGACCGTTGATTTTGATGCGCTTCTGCGCGCGGAACGGGCTCGACGGATCCTGCCACTCGTCGTAGGTCGACGCGGTCGTGACCGTGACCAAGACGGCGTCTGTGGCCGCGTAGTGCTCGAAATAGTAGACAACAGGAAGCAGCGCCGAGTCGCAAAAGGGGCACCAGAGGCGCCGCGTGTCCGAGTCGTGACCCGAGAGGAAGAAGAGGAAGAGCGGGTACGACCCGTCGTACGTGTCCAAGATGGCGTTCAGCGCGTCCACGGTGGCGACAGCGCGCTGGTCGCGGGCGCGGACGGGTACGCGTGGCTCTGGGACGCGAAAGAGGTACTCGAGCAGCTCGGGATCGGTAGCGAACTTCTCCAGCACGAGGTTCGTCGTCTTGAGGTGGCCTTTGTACTCGAGCAGCGCCGGAATGCGATTGATACGCAGGAGGCTGTTGGTGCGGAATGGATTCGAGACGTCGCGCCATTCGTCCGGCGTGCCAACGCTGACCTCGAGCAGGCGAGCGGTCGGCGGCGCCTTAGCAAAGGCGGCTGCCACAGGCGCCTTGACGTTGCGACAGTCGCCGCACCAGTAATCGCCGCCACGCATGCCACTCATGACCAAAATGTACACAGGTCCGGCATCAAGGTCGACGTTCGAGAGATAGGCAATGGCATCGTCAAAGGAGGCGGCGTGGATCCGCCGGCTCGCGACAGCCGACGCTTGTCCAAGCCGGAGCTCCTGACGCCCGTAGCTGCCGTCCGAGGCCGTGGCCGCGTACATCCGCGCCATGTACAGGAGCGAGCATGTCACGAGAACCGCAAGAGAGACGCGGAAGAGCGTAAGAACCGTCACCTGCTGCGACGGCTTGGCCCGCATCTCGCCGCTCTTGTCCCAAGGATCTGGATGAGTGAGATCCAGCGCAGTCCAAAAACGGAGGACCCCCACCGGGCCTGAATGACGTTACGGATTTATGTCCCACAAACACTATTCAAGACCTGTTTTTGCAAGGCAGCGTCTTCGCGACGTAGGTGTCTACCGCTACTATTGAGGACTCTGCTGCATTCACCCCCAAAGGTACATGCATGAATTTGCTGCGATACGGTGAAAAAAATCCAGCACACTATGGCATGCTTGCATCTTCCCCAACAACTCCCCGAAATAGTGTCAATCACGTGGCACCTTCATCAAAAAGAATAGGTCCCCCTAGAAGGCCCGTCCGTGTTCCAGCGAAATCCGACAGCAAAGCAAACGTCGTCGACCAAGCATCGCGACTTGTCTCCGCGAGCACCGACGGGATGAACAGCACGAGCGACGACTACCTCCGCGAGGTCGCGCAGGCGCTGCGCCGTGGCGTCGAGATCAAGAACCGGCGCGTGAACCTTCGCACGTACGATCTCTGCTTTGTCGGGTGCGAGGCCGTGACGTGGCTCGTCGAGCACGGGTACGCGCCATCCCGCGAGGCTGCGGTCGAGCTCGGGCGCAACCTCGTCTGCGGCGGCCTTATGAACCATGTGGCGGACAGTGAGCACTTCCAGGACAAGACGCTCTTCTACCGCTTCTTTGAAGACGAGGTCGGCGGGCCGCGCGAGCCGCCGCTCTCGCTTGCACGGTCGTTTGCGTCAGGCTCACAGCGCGCCAAGAGCATCGAGAAGGCCGTGCGTAACCACATTGGCAAGCTCACGGGCCGTGCGCACTCGACCGTGACCGAGCAGCCCGTGCGCACGCTGCGACTGAAGAAGAACGGGTTTTGCCCGATTCGGTCGCTCCTGACCGTCGCGCCGAGCACGACCTTTGGCTTTAGCGACGTGTGCTCGTTTTACTTTCCGCCGCACACGGTGCACAACTCGATCGCGCTCACGGTGCCCATTGTCGAGCAGATGAAGGAGGCATTTTCGACGCTCGACATGCGCGCGCGTGAGAACGCGGTCTTTGGCCTCCGAAAACAAGTGCTCAAAGCCGCCGACTCGAGCGATAAGAACTGGATGTACATCAAGAACGTCACGGGCCACCACGGCAACGACGTCCGCGTCTTCTATCGCAACGCGATTGGCGGCTTCCAGACGTTTTTAACAGTCGGGGCGATCCACGTCCCGCCGGCCACGTTTGCCAAGCATTTTCTGGACCACCAAGAACGCCGCAAGATGGAAGCGTTCTACGAGGCCGGCTTCACCGTCGAAGACCTCCTCATGGCCCACACGCACGAGATGAAGCTCGAGAAGAACATCCACCAGCCCTTCTCGAGCGCCGTCGCGCCGTGGGTCGACGACGACCGCATTCAGCTCTCCATGTCGGACGACATGGGCTGCGTCGCGTCCCACGCCATGGCCGCCGAGCGGTTCCCGGCCAACAATAGCGGCGCGTCATCCGAGGAGCATCTCATTGGCGGCGGCGCACAGCGCATCTTGTACCGGACGATGACGAGCGTCTCGCGGGTCGTGACGCAGCGCGACTTTGTGACGTTTCAGGATTGCTTTGCGATGGAGAGCGGCGGCCACGTCGTCTACGAGATCTCGGTGCACCACAAGGACATTCCGCCGTCGCTGCCGGTGCGATCATCTATCATTCTGGTCGAAGCGTCACAGTGGCCATGTAGAACTATACCCGCGGTGAAATTTTGTGCCTCGCCCACATTGCCGAGCCAATTCCTGGCAACCCGAGCGCGTGCATGCTCACGGTCGTGACCCAAGTCGGCTTCAAGGGCAAGATGCCGGCCTTTGTGTCGCAAATGATTTTCGACAAGCTCATCACGCGCAGCTTCGAGTCCGAGGTAGAAGAGGACGAAGACAATGTGTCTGACTTTTGGTCGTAGATGTGCACCAAGGTGCTCGACTGCACGGACGTGGTCGACGGCGCGCTCAAGGACATTCCGTACGACTTTACAA